AAATATGGAGGAAAACATACATATGGTCAAAACCATGGAGGAAAACCTTTCGAAGCATGGTCAAATTTGCATAGAGAAGGGGAAGACTACAAAAGACTCTGTTGAACCAAATGTGGAAGACAGCAAGATCCAAGAAAAGAGATTGGTTTTTTTTTTCATTGCAGGAGGATTTTCTTTGCGTGAGGCTAGCGGAACGGGAACCCATATATGGGTTTTTAGATTTGTCAAGCTAGCTAGCTAGCTGGGTCGCAATTTGAAGAAATTGAAGCTACAATTGATGTGGATTCATGAATTGAGATGTTATCGAAGGAAGAGTAGGTTACGAACAAAAGAAGATCTAGTAACAAAGAAAGATGAAGAAGTTAAGGAAGGATGAGGAAGATGAAGAAGAGGGAAAAACAGTTTTAATTTTGTTTATTTTAAATTAATTAATTTAAGTATTTGAAATAGGCTTAGATGACGTGGGAAAGACACATAGATTAAATGGGTGGGAATGATGCTAGGTCAGAGTCTATGCGAGAAAAGAACATTCCATGATGTTTACAAGGTCCGAGTTAATCGGTACGTAATCAAAAGAATGATGACATTATATGATGTGGCATATCAAATAATAAAAAATTTGTTTAAATTGTAAATTTTATAAGTAACTATATTTTTATTTTTGTTTAGGATGAATTCATCCCTACTTCTTAAATTTAGAAGTAGATTTGGGTATTTTGTCTCTTTTCTTTATATTTAGATGATCTTTATAATTCAAATTTCAAAAATAAAATTTTATAAAAAAATAAAAATATTTGTAGTATATTGAACATATTTTCAAAAGTTTAGAGGAGGCAACGGCCGCCCTTGTCCTTTGTTGTCTTCGTCAATAGTTGCCCATGTGTTATTATTTTTTTGTCAAATTAAAAGTATATTTATTATTTTTTTATTAGTTTAGATAAAAAATTAAAAAAATAATTTTATTTTTAATATTATTGATAATAAATAAATAATTTTAATAATGCATTTGATAAAATAATAATTAATTTTTATTTTTTTTATAATAATTAAAAAAATTATAATAAATACACCATTAAAATACAAATTAAACAAACAGTTAAACTTTGATTGAATCAACGTGTAACACATGTTCATGGGAACGTGTAACACAAAGTTGGGCTTTCCTTTTTAAAAAAAAAAGAAAAGAAACAAGAAAAGAAAAGAAAAGAAAAGAAAAGAACAATGCAACACACATTAAAACCTCGTACCAAAGATTGAGACACACAGGCGGCCAAAAAGGGGGAAAAGACACATACGACTTCATGCTAAATATCTTATTCCACTGTTCATGTTAGTTGACCTTTCGGTAGAGTATACTAGAATTAAAGAGAGTAGTAAAATAAGAACATTCGAAATATCTAATATATATACACTTACGAAATCATGCTAAATATCTTGTTCGGTTGTTCCTCTGTTACGTTATTTTATCATTTTGAAATAATTAACCTTTAAGGGTAAAATAAGCAGGGAGTTTTAACTTATACCCTTGTGGTAAATTTATTACACTTTTTATGAATTAATTTAAATAAAAAATAAAAAATTAATATTAATTTTAACAATTATACTATATAAATATTTTTAATTAGATAATTGATAAAATTAATGTCATTTTTATTTTTTTAATATATAAAAAGTACAAGAAATATATTTTTAACCTTATTTTTAAGGTGTAAGTTAGAAAAACTCAATAAAATGATAATAATTTATGTTGTATTAAATATTAAAAATTAAAATTAAAATGAAACAAAAAAATCCCATAAAATGTCTGTTAAAATGGAATAAAGGGAGCAAATTAAAGGTTTTTGAATTCAAATCGATTATCATAAACTCTAAAGCCATAGAACTCATCAAATTAAAGAACAATAAAGAAGTATCTTCAAGAAAATTCTCATTAATTATGTTCCTGTTACTCATGCAAGTTTTCTTCCTATTACCACCTTGTCCATAACCTTTTTGCCTAGAAAATCTTCATTGAGAAGAAGTGGCTTATATACCTTGTACATTATGTATGTCTATTACATATTAGCCGATCTTAAAGATGTGCTTTTCAGATGATTATCTTGATTTGTTTAAAAAAGATTGAATTCTTTTAAGTGTTAAACACAAGATTTAAATTTTACACTTAATTTATAAAATAGTATACATATTTGTGTTTATCAAAAAATCTAATTGAAATTTCATGTGGAATTCATTAATAATAACCTAAGCATGTTGTAAACATTAATATCTTAAAATTGTTTACTATTAAATTAAGTGATCGTTTATGGTTATGCTAATCAAATGATGAAGATACGTTAGACGACCGAGGTAACCTTCATTAATTATAAGGGATCTCTTAATTAATTAACAAAATCTTATCTTTTCTCAGGTGGTCTGGCTCTCTCTAGCTAAAGTATTCTATATTGCTCCACCTACACCACATTAAGGCATAAATATCTTGGAAGGCATTCTGAGAACCATACAATATAAGGTTCTTTAGGGCCTTAAATTTTATTTTCATGTAAAACACTACAAAATGTAATATATATATATATATATATATATTACCAATGTAATTAAAGGTAGATACATATAACTGTCACCAAATTTAGCTTGACATAGGAGAGAAAAGATACAAATAAAAATATAAATTTTATTAATTTTTTATAAGTTTATCTAATTTGTGTCCTTAAGATACATATTAAGTCTAATTAATTACAATATTTATAATTAATTTTATATAAATTTTCATATTAGATTCATATATTTTTACAGATTTTGTTATTTTTTCTACAAGTTTGTCTAATCTGTAATTAATTTTGTACAAATTTTCATACTAGATTTATACTTTTTTACAAACTTAGAGCATGATAAGGGGAGAAAAGGTGCAAATAAAAATAAAAAT